TTTTTTTTTACGGGAAACTTATGAGAAGACTTTCCCCGGTCAGGATGGATTCATCAGACAACGAGCATGTTGCGACGAAGCAAGCGACAAATAAATGCGAATTCTCTCTCCCCCCGTATCTCCCTCTCCCAGTCCCCACCTCTATGGCGCTATGGCAGCCCCTCCACCCACAGCCCCACCCCCCCCCCCCCCGGGGACGTTCCCTCCATTTCCAGCAGTTGTAATCTCAGTTGTGGGCGCATACTCATAGTACTGATTATCTGTCTCTGGGTCCCAATATTCCCACCTCTCAATGCTATCTATTCCTTCCAGTGTAGCAAAAGCTGTAAAGTGCACTTGTGTTGTCTGAACCCTATAAAATGCTTGGAAAATTCTGTAAAATCATGCTTGTATGTGAATGATCACTGCAATCGCATCCTTTTCAGCTGAATCGCAGAAATAAACGCCTCGGTCACTGAACCTCTTCAGCCTCTGGTGAGATTAATTTTTAATATTTTTCGTTCTTTGGATTGGCTTTCGCTGGCTGCTCACCGAGGTCAACGGACCCCTTTAGCGGTCTTCAGGGATCTCTCCCGCTGGGAGACCCCCAAAAAGAGCTCGATATCAGGAGCAAGCTTCCTTTTAGCCTGAAGAAGAGAATGGCTTCAAACTACAAGAGAGGAGATTCCATCTGAACATGAGGAAGAACTTCCTGACTGTGAGAGCCGTTCAGCAGTGGAACTCTCTGCCCCGGAGTGTGGTGGAGGCTCCTTCTTTGGAGGCTTTTAAGCAGAGGCTGGATGGCCATCTGTCAGGGGTGATTTGAATGCAATTTTCCTGCTTCTTGGCAGAATGGGGTTGGACTGGATGGCCCAGGAGGTCTCTTCCAACTCTTGTGCTCGGAAGTCTATAGGCAGCAATTACAAACAAGCCCTAAACGGTTCCAGTCCAGCTTATCTATCTGAAGGCATCTCCTCCTATGAACCTTCTAGACATTTAAGATCATCAGCTCTCAATCCTGCCTGCCTCATAGGCATGTCTAACGGTGACAAGAGACAGGGCCTTCTCAGTGGTGGCTCTCAGCTGTGGAACCCTTTGCCCAGGGATATTACATTGGCTCCCTCCCTCCTGACTTTTCAAAAAAGTGTGAAAACATGGCTCTTTGAGCAGGCATTTGAAATTTCAGTGTGATCAAATGAATACAACTGGAATATGAATATGGAACGGCTAAAGATGTTGGAAGTAGGAAAGTGGGTTTATATATCTGTGGAAAGACCAGGGTGGGACAAAGGACTCTTGTCTGCTGGAGCTAGGTGTGAATGTTTCAACTGACCACCTTGATTAGCATTTGATAGCCTGGCAATGCCTGGGGCAATCATTTGTTGAGAGGTGATTTGTGTGTGTGTGTGTGTTCCTCTTTATTTACTGTCCTAATTTTAGAGTTTTTTTTAATACTGGTAGCCAGATTTTGTTCATTTTCATGGTTTCCTCTTTCTGTTGAAATTGTCCACATGCTTGTGGATTTCAATGGCTTCTCTGTGTAGTGTGACATGGTGGTTGTGAGAGTGGTCCAGCACTTCTGTGTTATCCAATAATATGCTGTGTCCAGATTGGTTCATCAGGTGCTCTGCTATGGCTGACTTCTCTGGTTGAAGGAGTC